GTCCGCGAAAATTTTACCGGAAATTATACTGAATACTTTCGCAGGTATTACTAGAGAACGTGTTTTAAAGTTTGCGAGGTTTGTATACAACACGATGGTTGCAGTCATGTCGCTTTAAACGTTAAACGAGATTTAAGCTTAAATCTTTCTAGATTTTTTGCATAATTTGCTGTGACTGAAAGAAGGAGACTGTTTGGAATGCAACTGTCAAAGGATAGATCCTATTCGGTTTTACACCCACCCCTTGTTGTTCATGTAAAAAAAAAAAATCAAGGAAACATAACGAAGAGCTTACATCGACACAATAAAGTAAAATGCGTCATGTTTGTTTTCGTTTATTCTCCTCCAGAACCTGTTAAAACTCGACCAGCTAATCCTAAAGGTGAGTTATATCTTTCATTTGGTCCTAATTTCAAAATCTCGGGTTGATAGCCCTGGGCCTAGTTGTTCAACCACCGATTATTGCTTACCCAAGGTTAAATTTTAATCCATGTTTCTTTAATTCCTTTGGTTAAAAAACTTGTTTGGGATAATTTTCTCTGTTCTCTTAAGAGCATCCAATCACAGCATTGTAGACGAGAAAATGATGTTGGATTTTCTTTTAAAGCTTTCAGATCTGAAATAAAATTTTATACTTATCTTGGCATACCTTAAGCCAGCTTTGAACAGCCCTAAAGGTTCAGGCCAACATTGATCTCTCAGAGATCGTGGCTTTCAGTTGAAGCTCCACGATTACTTTTCACTTCCTTGGTTCCTTATTTCTCTGTTTTTGTTCTTCTTTAGCCCTAGACAATTCTTCCACGACAAAGGCCTGATTTTAACTTTCTCTTTGTAATACCCCATAGGTATAAAGTGTCATAGCTCTTGCAAAAAGTGGCTTGAGCGAGGACAGTGCTCGACTAGATGGCGAAGACGTTGTATTAGGACCTGTTTAGCTTTAGGATGCGACGAGGAACCCGTGAAACCAGAAGGTGAGAAACCATCTTTGTTTTTTTAATAGTGGTGAGATTGCTGTCCCTTTGAGAATGAGCAATTATTGGATGAGGTTGAGCATGATATCATGAATTATCGACGCCGAGGTGTGCGTTATCTGCCGAAGCCGAGGGCTTCGGCAGATAACACAGATACGCGTTTTGATAATTCATGATATCTTGCGAAAACCGACTTCAATAATTTTTTTTACTATACATTTTTAATCAATCTGCAAAAGAAAACACCACCAAAATTTAACTTTTAACCTTAATTAAATCCACCCCGAAATTCCGAAAGATCAAATTCCCCAACCAATAAGTGATATTTTGGGCATTGACGATACGATACTTCCAGATAGCTTATGGTAAGTTTGAGAACAGGGATAATGAAATAACCTTATTATCCAGTGTGCTATTTCATTGTCATTTCACACAGTGTTTGGTTTCCTTCAGTTGGCTTTTGCCTCTTGAAGATCAGAGGTTACCACTGAATTACTTATCACTAATTGAAATTAATTCCTGCATAGGAACTTGTTCTGAGCCCCAAGGAGTGGGATGGGACAACTCTTTGCCAGACAGTGCCTTCAACGCATCGTCGAGTCTTTACACACGTAAGTATAGCTTGAAATCGTTATAAGAATCAGCCGAAATCCATAATTTTCGCCACGAATTTAGGGGAAATGATAAAAAAAAAAAAAAAAAAAAAAAGTGTCAGGCATAGCTCGCGGAATTTTTAAGTATGCAAGGAGCCCACTAATTCACTGTGATTGTTTCTATTCCAGGTCCATGGGACTTTGGTCCTCATAATGCAAGACTTTATCTACAGGACGACCGCATCAGAAAGAGAATTGGTGGTTGGTGTGCGAGGTATAGGAACCATAACCAGTGGTTACAGGTGGATCTTAGAGAGATTAAGATCGTAACAGCTGTCGCCACACAAGGTATAGACTCTATTTAAGGTTAGGACTTTTTCGCCTAGTTACAGGTGGGGGTCGTAAGTACATGTCAAACTTTGGGTTTAATTCCGGTCTTACAATGGGGCTCTAAAACGCACCATCAATGGTCATTTTCTTTATTTGAGGAATTAAGCTCTTTTGATAAGAGAACAAATGCTTGAAGTATCGACTCTAAGCGCGAAATTTGAAATAGTCGGTAATGACTTCGATAACAGATATGATCTGCTTTGGTGGAGGGGTAGGGAGGTTTTTGTTAACAACAACTTTTTACCTACCGGGTGACGGACGGCAAATTTGTGTAGGCACAGAGGGGGAGGGTTTAACTCCACGACATATTAAAGATTCAGAGCTCAGGCACTTTCTTGCTATATTAGATTAAAGCTGAAGTAAAAATTCAACAACTGATTCACAATTCAAAACAAAAGAACGCATGAACTGTATGAACCCCTCAAGTTTTTAAAAGCCCATGTTTTCCTCGCACATAACTCATCTCCTTCGTAATTGAAGGACTCTGTGAGAAAAACAAGAGGTGCTTTCTGTTAGTTTCACCCTTGTTTACTTGTTGTGATCTTTAATTACTCAGAAGGAAGCGCAGAAAGAAATACAATCCGCAAGAAGATACCTGAGTTTAGTGTATCATTTTTGTTTATAAGGCTCTAGATTTTTACTTTATTCCAGAAACAGCACCAGGAGATCACTTACAAATGAGTTTATGAATTGTCAGTGACTATTGTTTCTTTCAGGTCGTGACAAATATTTTGAGCACGTTAAATCCTATGAGCTTGCATATAGCAAGGACGGAGTGCGATGGAATTATTACAAGGAAAACGGGAGAGTTCGGGTGAGATTCTAATATACTCTCTAAGTCTGCTTAATTTAAATCAAAAGAGCGTAAATATCTTGCCCCTATCTAAGAGAGATCGTAAAAGCTTTTACTAATTTGAGAGCGTGGATCCTTTTTTCGACCAAAGTGGAACATATAGACTCATATCACTAATATAAATTTACTTCAGAGGACTCGTATACAAGAATGATACAGGTGTGTCCAGTTTCAAGGTTTGGCGCCATCTCGAAATGGGTGACCACTCGCCTCAATTCCATGCGAGAGCTTCGAATCCCGCTGGCTAAGAGCAGTCCCGCGGGTTGACTCGCTTCGGTCTGAATGGTATGGGAAGATGCGTAGTTAAATTGCAACCACGTGATCAAATACAGTTCACTAATCCATGATTATTACTTGTTAATAGTTCTAATTTTCTCACTTTCTTTTGGTGACAGGTATTACCGGGAAACTGTGACAACTTTACCCCAGTGGTTAACAGGTTGATCCGGCCTATCCAGGCCAGGTTTGTCCGGTTTTATCCCAGAACTTACAACAATATATGTATGAGGGTCGAAGTGTACGGATGTAACAGGCAAAAAGGCGAGTCGAGACAACAAAAAAATCGGTGAAAGGTCAATTAATGGTTAGCGCTCTTTAACACATGTCTCTATATTATTATCTTTATTATTAGCGTATGAAGAGAAGAGAGGACCGCCTTTATCTCCCGTGTTTGGATTGTGAAGACTGGACAACAAGGAGAAGCCAGTGGAACTTTTAGTTACACGGAGCAAGCAGTGAAAATGCGCTTGGAAAACGCTTTGGCTGTTAGATAACAAGTTTGAAGATGGAAAAAGCGGGAAAATGAAGCAGCCGTTCGCAGCGTTAGCTACACTTGAAGCACTAGTTTTGAAAGTGGTCCGGGTAAAGCATCGAATTTGACACTTAGGTAATGGGTCTAACATGCTAATGGCTTAATGGATTTTGTTATTACATCGTGTGTTGTACCTCAGAATCGACTCATGAAAAGTTTTGGCGAATTAGCTGAGTCTCAAACAATAACCGGAACGATTAGGGAAAAGCAACCGATCGAGAGGATCATATAGCTCTTCTGAACAAGCCATAGCATATAAAAAGCGTTGTAATATGGACCTTAGAGAAACTGAGGGGGGAGGGGACAGGGAGGATGGATCAGGGCGTTGGCCGGGAATTGTCAATTCCACGAAAGTTATTTTGAGCTCAGAAGGACATCCCCTAGCGTGTGCAATGTGCGTTCTCGCTTTAGAAAGGCTAATTAATTTTTCCAAAGTCGTTTTCATCAACAAAATCATTCTCCACGTTGTCCGTCCTAATAACATCAGATCGTGGTTGGCGGCCTTCATAATGAGGTCTGAGAAGACAGACTTTCGTTCAATAGACTATCTATAGACATGTCAAGAGGACCTGACATTTCCCAACGCCAGTGATATGAGCCTGGTTCCTTCCCCTTGTTTTCTCGTGATTTCACTGAGTTATTGTTCGGATTCTATAACTCCAACTTATTCCTTACCTCTTCCTTACTTAACACCCTTGCTCAACTAAAGCACCTTTACCCGTTCACTGGAAGTGATTAAAAAAAGTCCAGGTGCTTTGGAATTCGTCGTCCACTGTAGCAGTAACGCAAGGACACAGTTGCATGCTTCGTCTATCTCTTCCAGTTGCTTGGAGAGAAATTACCGCGTTCTTGGGCCATTTTCAAGCAGCAACAGCTAGTTCTTTTAAACTTTTAGGGTAAATATTTAAATAATTTTGGAAAATTGTGCAGATCATAAGTGCATTAAAGGTTTGGGTACGTTTGCTGACATCCATAGCGTTCATATGATCATTGTGACTGAACTGAAAAAGTCCGAAGTTTCGCGCGATGTGTAATCACAAGAAGTATTGAAAATTACTTGAGAGCTATGTTTTCATAATATGTACACATTCTTTCATTTTAACAAGAGATCTTCCTGATATTTTCATCATGTATTTTTTTTAAACGTCCACTACTTTTTCTATTTCAATTTCGTGATTTTCTATTCAGTGCGAAGTTTTCGATCAAGATTATAGTTAAATCGGTGTTATAGACTTTAATCGTAGACAAGCTAAAATACATTGACATTTACGATTGTCAATTATTTAACGCGTACTTATTCTCTCTCCTTCTTGCTTCTTTTAAGTAAAACTTTTTAAGTCTCAAATGGCACACAAACCTGCACAAAAATAAGCTTATCAACACTTTTTTGTGTCAAGTCCGTTAAGTTGTGATGACTATCACGTCACGTGACTGTCGGATCACGTGACAAGTCACGCGTGTCACGCCACAAAGTCAGAAGCATTTTTTCCAGAGAGAAAATTAGTTTCTAGTGGCAAAGTAATCCACTCTATACGTGTCTATTTTAGAATGATTTTTTCCTCAGATCAGCTCACGATCATGGGCTGAGTTGTTTTCAAATCAGGGAAGAGGTTTCGTGGAGGAATCTTTTGTCTTGAGGCCTCAGGGTAGTAATCGCAATGAAGAGAATAGGGAATAGTTTAGGTGTAATACACTTTGTAAATGGGAAAAAGATGTGAAAGAAGGACAAAATAGATGTATTTCAAGGCAGAGTGTTTCAAGTTACTAGCATGAATACGGCTTACTCATCCTAACACGTACTATTATTATGCTTTTACGTGAGAATGTACGTACAAAGTTAGATTTTGGTCATTTCCGAGTATTTACTGTTCCTCGGTTGTCAGTTCCTCTCTTTTCCACAGATGCTTCTTGTAAATATGCGCTGAATGTACTGATTTCCATCTACACTCTGCCTTTAGAGAGCCTCTTCAAAGGTGAGAGGATTTTTTCCTCTTATGTGCACTTAAGGTAGACATTGTTTTTTTTTTTTTATTACAGAGGCACTGCAGTTATACATGTGTTTCCATTTTCTTGGTAGATGGTCTAATTTTGACTGACTTCAATTACGTGCATTATTCACTTCTTACTATATTTATGTAGTTAATTTATCATCGTTATGTTCTTAAAGAAATCAGTAACCTTGTTCGCAGGAAATAAATAAAATCATATTTGTCAAGAAACCTCAATGGTGTTTTTTTTTTCAGTAGAGGGAGTCCCTTTCAACAAGAACGTCCTCAGAATATTCTGCTTTTTTTTTCTTTGACTTTTACTTTTGATTCTGACTTATGTATTTTGACTTATGCAGTATAGTTATCGTATGTTGTCTATTCGGTCAAAAGCGGTATTCCAAGAGTTTGAACCTCAAATGCGAGTCAGTTCTGATCTTCGCCAATTGTTCACCACGTAGCTCCCTAATCCTAACGTCGAGTCTTGCTAGTATGATATCCAAACGCTATTATCGGAAACTAAATATTCTGGCCTGATTTGAAGTCGATCCACCTGCGTTGCGACAAGACCGGCGAAGCTGCAAGAGATCCAGTTTGTCGAGCGAGCCGGTGAGTGGCCTGGCAAGAAGAACGTGAAAGGTCTCCCGTCGCCCGGGCCCTTGCAGCTTCCCCGCCGATGCAGCTGACTGCCATTATGGTAGCATGGCCGGCGGGTCTACCTTCGAAATGAAGAGGCCCTCTCGAACGTGACCGTGACGCTCGAATTTATAATCTACAGAATCAACCTACAACGTTACAGCTTGGGTTCACACGAAAGGAAGTCACTTGAATATAACGCAATCGGAGTTGGGCACCCGGAATGGAAATTTCACTTCCTTGAAGGAAACGCAGCACTTTTCCGTCTTCTTAGTAATGCACCAATAATTTCGTCTTGTTCCGTTTTGTTCCCTTGTGCTTATTTTTTTTTTCCGTTGGGTTTTATAAAACCTCTCTATTTCAATGAAATTTCATAGATATTTTTCGGAAAGAGTTTTTCCAAGATAACTTGATGCAAAACCGGTAGAGGGCGCGCAGCGAACCCTTCTCATTTGTATATATCACACTACCTCGGCGCTCACATTCTTGAGACTAAAGAAATTATACAGACTGTTGTTTCAATCGACAGATTATTAATTTTTTTTTTTATATTTTCATCTTTCGTGTGAGAATTTATTTGAAAACTGGTGATATTTTGTGGTATCAGACTTGTGACCGATTACGTTTCTGTAAAGAGCAAATATTGCGTCATAAAAGGCTCTCGTGATGAATCATGGGAATAGATGGCCAACCAGTCCGTGCCACGACATCACGTGACGAAATTGTTGTGAAGAAGGCCAGCTTATCCAACTACATCGACAGCGAGCAACGTCTACTATAAGAATGGCAAATTTAGCCTTTGATTCGCCTGTAACTTTAGTTATAAAGACTCCAAACCAAAAAGTTGACGATTTAAGAATAGACTGTGCCTTGGAATGGTCAGTGGAACAACTGAAAAGACACCTTTCGAGCGTTTATCCAACCCAACCGGTAAGGAATTGATGACTTCCGTTTGTAAACGAATCATTTTGTTTCTGGTTACTAAAATGAAGTTTATACTGATTTTCTTGCTTCTGTACTCAAGGAAAGCCAACATCAGAGGATAATTTATTCGGGACAGCTGCTCAATGACAATTTAATCCTTAAAGATGTGTTTAGAGAGGTGAGCAACTGAAATTTGTACGGGGGTATTTGGCGTCCATGTTCATCTACACATATGAACACATATATTTCATCCCTATCGCTGATTCCTTCTTTTAACTGTATTTAGCACCAACCCTCATTCATGGCTAACTTAGAGAGATTTGAGTGGTTTGTTATTGTTTTACGTGAGATACAAAGAGAACTCCCACGATGGGTATCGAAAACTGTCTTTGCCACTACGCACGTACGAACAAGAACATAAACAAATTGCAAAGCATGCCGTGAATTTTACTTGCACAGCTGTTTACCTTTAAACAATTGATCTTTTTCTTATTTTATCGTCCTATTTTCTCCAGTCAGTTTCTCGTAGATTCGTATGTCTCGTGTAAGGGGCATTATGAACCCTAGAAACCTCCTTAAAATATGCCTGTCAATGATGTAGACGTAAATTAAAATACAACATTTGTTACATAACTGAATACAGCACCAGGTATTGATAGAATAATTGGTTTGTAATTGAATTTTTTGTGGCGTGCTATTATTTTCATGAACACAAACCATTCATACACATGCATGTGATCTAAAAATCATTATATAAAGTAATTTTTGCATCTCTACTTGTGCTGCTTTCACTTTCCTCATTGAAATGAAAGGGAATCCTGGATTCTTACCTTTCAAATAAATCTCATGGACTCTCTGGTTGGAAATTTCATGAGTTCACCTTTCACAACAAAAGTTGAATTTATGTTGACATCTTATTTTATACTAAACTCCACTGAAAACACTCCACTCAGTATGCAACATGTAAGTTCACAATGCTAAAAGTGTATAACAACAGCCTTCTATACATCAATTCTAGTTATTGAGTGGAAGGAGATGATATAACAGCTTGAATATTCCTACTTCTATGTAGCTCTTCTACACAGTACATCACTCTTGAAAGTATTTTCTCTCAATAAAGTGTGAAAGTACATTTAAGAAATAAAGGAATTTTTTACTGTGTTCACATAGGCTTATTTAAACACGAGTAGGTTCAGGGGGGTTTAAGACCGTCATGTAAACCAAAGATGCAGCTGAGGGTTTGCAGAACTTTCTAGAATTTTCTTTGCCCCATCATTACTAAGATGAGGCTCTCTAATCACAAAAAGCTCCACTCTTGCATTTTATCATTAACATCAAAAATATGTCCAAATCTAAAGCTTCACAGAGGTGTTTCGATATTTTCATCTTGACACTCCTGGTGGCAAATGAGAGCATGCATAATATCTTATTTTGACTTGTTTTATTCAAAGAAAACAGTTTCATGCCTGCAAGGAATAACTGTATTACTGTTCAAAATGAAAATAACCAACTGATGGATATTTTTGTTATCTTCAACAGCATGTAGATGGGAAACAACACACTGTACATCTTGTATGTCCAATGAAGACAGAAACACAGTCAACCACTGATACTAAGGGAAAGGTAAGAGTATGCTAATTTACATGACTTGTCCCTTATGAACACTTACACCATATGTTTAACACATCCTGAACATCAATAAGGGAATTGTTTTTTGATTGTTATTTCAGATTGAACCTAGTGCACCCACAACAAATGCTAACACCTCTGCAGAAATGTTGTCGACTGCACCAACTATATCACAGACAGCCAGCGATGGGCTCAGATACAGAGGAGCCAATACACCAACTTATCCACCATTTAACATGTTCCAGTAAGTGTTTTTTACTTTTACGTCTGACTTGTTGAATTATCATCATGCACTTCATTTCCTTGTTCAGCAGAATCTTCACTCCACCAGTACACATGTAGGTGAATATATTACAACAGAGTTTTAATTCCAGAACTCTTCTGGAAGTTATAATTTTACTTGTAAAATTATACATGTGGCAATGTAAAACCAGGCTTACTCACCAAGGTTCAATACATTGATTGTACCTTCTTTGGGTGATTCATTTTAAACTACCTTACTTTTTTAATCACGCACATGTGACAATTTTTGATTGGTGGGAATCTTTCTAAATGACTGGCCCTCCTCTCATAGCCAGCAGATGGCAAATGCTGCTTACAACCTTCCAGCCCAAGGACATGGCTATGCAGTGCCACCTTTTGTTCCACCTCCTTACTGGATGCAGCAGATGTTTGCGCAGCAAATGGCAGCTGGAAGGATACCTCAGCCTAATATGTACATGCTAGCCAATTAGTAAGTCTCCTCCATGCTTTACAAAAGTTGCTTTTTTGCTGGCAATTGGCAATTAGTTCTTGGCGATTAGAGGGGCAAGGTATCCTGTGATAATTATCTCCAGTCTATGGCATGTTTTGAGAACCCTGCCTGTAACATACCGTATTTACTCAAATAAATGCCAGAGTGCTTATTCAAGGAGGGTGCTAAATTATTATTCTCCTGTACTGATTTCACTGTCATTGAAGTGGAAAGTGTTCTAAATTATATGGCAGTCTGCTGACCTTTGGCCGAATTTTAGTGTACATGTATGTTGAAATGATTACCTGTTGTAACTATTACATGTACCTGTACTCTGATGACTTGGTTTAAACAAGAGTCAGTGCTGATGCAGCTTTGCTTTTTTCCACAGTGGCTATCCACAAATGCCCTACCCCTGGTGCCCTCAAGCCGGCAATTTCCCAGCACCACAAGTACCAGTGGTGAACCCACCAGCCCTTCATGTACCACAGACTCCACCCCAGCAACCCGCAGCACAAGCACAGGCACCCCAACCACAACCACAAGGGAATGGAAATGTTCAAGCAAATGCCAATGCAGGACCTCTATTTAATGACGAGGATGATGATGAAGAGAATCCTAACCGTGATTGGCTAGATAAGATTTATACGCTGTGTCGTGTAGGAATTCTGTTGAGCATCTTTTGGTTTTATTCTTCTACTACACGCTTTCTGGTGCTGATATTGACCTTTGTTCTCATTTACCTGTACCAATCAGGGATATTGGCAATCTTCAGAAGAGGTAGGTAGATTTAAGCGATTAACAGTCGATCCTTATTACACAACCATTTGGGCGTCTGTCATCGTTGATCCCTGTATACAGTGGATGTATCTATGTATGTGCAGCTACAGTGAAACAACTTTCTCTTCATGCTTTTTCAACTGTCAAACTCCCACATCCATTGTAAGTTCATGTATTTTGATGTATTGTTTATGTATTGCAAGGTGCACAAATATTAAATCATGAAGTAACTTTTGTCATTTCACAATAGCAATTACTTAAGTTTGTGGTGAATTGCATTTCTAGGCAATAATCGCCAAGAAATTCATATGCCAGCTCCAGTACCACCCCCACGGCCAGAGGAACAGGCAGAACCAAGACAGAATGGAAATGTATGTGCTGTACATCTACATGAAATGTTTACAGTCTCTTTTCAGGGCTGTTTGGTTTTTTTAAGCCATTTGCTTTGTCAAGTTGTGTATCATATCTTGCTGTAACCACATGAGTGGTTATCATACCATAATACCAATTTTCAAAATGGATATCCTGCAATTTTGTTTCTCTTTCTCAAGATAAAAATGATTGTTTTGCCTACTTTTAATTACTAATGATTCAAAAGCATGCTATTATTATCTTTGCAGTTATTCTACAAGATTCATTTTACATTCTGGTGAATAATAGTAATAGGTGTAATGTAATTTGTTTCTGTTGTTGAGAATGAGGCTATTTTTCATAATGTTTTGCTGTTATATTACCTATCCAGGCCCCAGACAGTCCTCAGGGAGATGTTACTGATAATACTCCGCAAAACACAGAAGAAAATGAGCAAGGAAGTGCAGATGAGACAACTACCACACCTGCTCAACCTACCCCTCCCCCAGGACCATCAGCTGCAACTGTTGCCTTCAACTTTGTCACTTCTTTCTTGACATCACTGTTCCCAAATGCACCTGCTGTGCAGAATTAGTGCTCTCAAGGCACTGGAATCAAGAAATATTCTTTAAGTCTGCTTTTAATCTTAGAATAGACCATTGTTAAATGACTTTTTGTGAAAAATTTCTGTGAAAGTGGAGAAGACAATATAAGTATTTCTGTCACATCCTGATTGTCAAGACCAGATTTGAATGGCAGGGCAATGCCGATTATACAAATGTAAGATGTAAAAAACGCTAATAAGAGAGGTTTGAAATATTAGAGATATTTTTATACATGTCAGCAGAAGTGGCTACGCCTAAGTGTACCTGGATTTAAATGTCATTGAGTTAATTCTCCTGCAAAGTTATGTAGGCCTTAATGTACAGTTAATTAATCATAATCTTTAAAAAAAATGTTACATTTTCTCGCAGATGAGTGTTGTAATGAGGGGTATCAATAGATGGTGGGGGTGGGGACAGGAGGTTTTCACGAGCCAGAGACAGGTAAAGTGGAATAGACACTGGAAGACTTGAGGTGTATATGGTTGAATTTGCGTTGCATTGTTGTAATTTCTCATAAAAATTTTTCTTTGCTTGTCAATACACTTACGGTAGATGGAACAAATGGACTGGTCTTTTTCCAGAGCAGTTACATATCATGGTCCAAAAAAGATACAGGAAACAACAAAGTCTTACTATTTGATTATTCGTAAGGCACTCTTGGTATGGCACTTCCAAGGTTGGTACAAACTGTAGTTAGAAAAGTTTTATTCTCGACTGCCATATGTATTCTTTGATTTACGCTCAGGGAATTTGATTTGAATGATGAAATTTGTATGTAGTTGAAAATGCTCCAAAAATGCAGAAGAAAATTTTATTTAAGATTTGAAAAGGTAGCATTTCCAGGTTGTGATGCTTCTGTTCACTTACACTCCTGAAGCATACTTCAGAAAGAGTGTCAAACGAACCGTAAGACCATGCAAGATTCCAATTGCTGTTCGATAATATTTCTTTGTAATGTTTTAGGAAGAATTTTGCAGTTTTAAAAACCTACCATGTACAAATGAAAATAGTTGTAATGAAAATTAGTTTTCCCTTCGCTATAATGGGTGGTTGAGCAGGTTGAAGTCACGGTAGGTTTTTTATTGAGGTCCAAATACCTGATATCTATACATGTTTGTGGACAGTGTTGTACAAAAGGGATGAGTAATGTAAATAGGGAGGGAAAGTATAACTTATCTTTGCAAATTCTATGTAAACAAGGAAAGGAGGAATAAAGATTTTGTCTCCAGCTTAATCTGACTGAAAATTGTTCGTGTTGTTGAAAGTAAGACAAGCCTACTTCCGAAAATTCGTTCGGTAATTCGCGGTGAAATCTGTTCGTCATCTAATGATTCCTTTATTGATCAAGCTTGGCATCCTCAATTTTACATTACGAAAGATTAGCAAAAAGACAAACACATGCATGGTAGGTAGGAGTAGAAACCATGTCTAGTTGTCCTAGATCACAGGATTTACGTTTAAGCTTCGTAAGTTTAAACCACTACCGATTAAAGTACACTAAACAAAAACGGCACTTGGAAAAGGAAAGCAAGAAAACTACTTGTAAAAAGTAATGGTAATGAAAAACAAGTGATGAATTTTTAAAAAGTGTGGTCTCGGAGACTCCTGTTTCAGGGCGTAAAATATTATGTAATCAAGCATCGCAGCCGTACACTTCTACCCGCATACAGACGTAGTTATAAGTCACCGGGTAAAATCTGATATATCTAGCAGTAACACCACGCTGTAAGACGTTCAAAACGGGGGTAAAGTGGTCACAATTGCCGCCAAATACCTGTAAAGGGAAGAGAATAAAACCAATAAGAAAAGAAAACTTCTCTATTTCAAAACAAGCGGAGGAAAAGTTAAGAATATTTGTTCGTGTTCTGGTCAAGTTTCTCGTTCTCTTAAACTTATAGAGACAGATAAAAGCACGCCAACTGTTGTGGTCTGCGCTCCTCCCAAATCTGTCTCGTCTGTCTATTAAGCTTAATTCGCACATTTTTTTGTGCCTCTTTAGACATGGCTTTCACTCAAAGAATATGAAAGGTAGGGAGTATTTTCCCTTCCTTTCAAGTTATTACCACTTATTCCTTAAATACCCAGCTTCGTGTAACAATCCGCAGCCTCTGCCTCTAATAACACCGTGATATTTAACAATTATTCCACGAGCGCGCGTTAGATATGAGATGATAGATAGCCAACGAGGCGCGTAGCGCCGAGTTGGCTATAATCATCTCATATCCAACAAGCGCGAGTGGAATAATTGTTTTATTAAAAAAAAAAAAAAAAAACGCCCCTAAGATAGACAAATCTTCTCGACTTTATTTCGTGAGAAGAGACCAGATGTTACTATGTACAGATATTAGATCATGATATATTGGCTGATATACCATAATGGCTAAGCCAATAAAAAGTCTTGAATTGCATTATCCAATGATCCAGTTTTTAATAAAAGAGAATATCCTGCTTGTAAGTTCAAAAGATTGCAACAAGTCGTACCTTGTCTTCGCCATCTGTTTGGTAGACACTCCAAGCATTTCCATCCTGACTGAAGGCGAGTTTATACGATTTCACGTGTTCGTAATACTTGTGTCGTCCTGATAGTAGAAAAGAAATGTAGTTAGAATGTATAGAACAAACCTCTCGGTCTTTCTGCTGAATTACTTCAAGCTTTGTGTTGCACTTTTATGGAGTAATTAATAACGATGTTAACTGTAAATATCCCCTCTTCATCTTTGATTACCTTGCGTCCCAACAGCTGTAATATATTTGTCCATCCCCAAATCCACTTGCAGCCATTGGTTCTTTGGCGTCGCTGCGCACCAGGCCCCGACCCGCTTGGAATCAAAGTTGTCTGTAAAATACATTCGTGCATTGCGTGCGCCGCTGCCCCATCCGCCACCTATAAAGCCAATGAGAAAATGCCAGTTGTTTAATCTCATACCCAGGTTGTAGAGTGTAACTATAACTGAACAACCGGATGGCCGTGACAGGTCTGGCTACGAGACTTGCTAGTTCTGTCTACAATGAGATATAGACCTATGAGATTGATTAAAGAAAGAGTGAAAAGTTTTCTTACCAACATCAAGGGACGAAGAAGCTGAAAATGCGCTGTCAGGTAGTTTAAAATTCCAACCTATTCCGAGTGGACTGGAGCACGGAGCTACCGAAGAAAAATGAAAACACGATTGTTTGTTTTAAGTTCTTCGGTAAAGCTTCACGAAGGTTTGACAAACCTTAACATTAAATCCTAAAGGAAACTACGCGCTTGTAAGTCCGCTTGTTGTTTAGATGCTGTGAACAGAAGTTTTTTTCGCTTTCCTCTGAGCAAAGAAAAGGCTGAAACAATAAAAAAAATGACACTGAAGGATAAGATGAGGTTGAGTTTGTAGGTTCATGTTCCCAACCTTACGGGTCGATCGATTGAGAATGCAACGAGAGAAACAACGAATGTCTTCTTGATCTTACTTAATTAAAAAAAGGGACCCATTGGATAATAATAATAATAATTTACATTTCTAGAGCGCTAAAATTATAAAATATTCTAAAGCGCTTTACAACATATTAACTACAAATATTAAAATGATAAACGACAAAATATCAAAACAAACTGTAAGCCAGCTTGAATAGATGTGTCTTAAGCTTTGACTTAAAAATCGTTACATTTGGACTGTTTCGAATTTCAAGCGGCAGTTCGAATTTCAAGGATGCAGCTTTTGAGTAAAATAAGATAGATCCGCCGTGCATAGTTGGGGTTCACTAATGCGCGCCCCAGTTGTCACTAATGCGCGCCCCAGTTGTCACTGATATGTGCCCCAATTGTCACTAATGCGCGCCCCAGTTGTCACTAATGCGCGCCCCAGTTGTCACTGATATGTGCCCCAGTTGTCACTAATGCGCGCCCCAGTTGTCACTAATACGCACTCAAATGGTTACTAATGCACGCCTCAGTTGTCATTTAGACCCTAACTTGCGGAGCCTGTAACACAATAGGAATAGGAATAAGCTTGTGATGAACGCATTTGCTTGTAGAATTCAAACATTGCTATGGTGTTCTCGGCAGCTTAATTAAATTTCCTCTTGTTATAGAAAATACTTCCTCGTCTCATACACTGACACAGAGAAAGTATTCTGCACGAAGAGAAACATTTGCAAGCCGTACTAACCAAATGGCCTAACAGGTTCTTTATCGCATCGTTCGGATCCACAACTCTTCTTGCAGTTTTCTCCCATCCAGCCTGGATTAGCAGAACACTCCCCCCTCTTAGCAAAATCTGCACAGTTTGGATGAAGATCTTCGCACTTAAAGCCTAATATAAAACATAACTGATGGTGTTAAAAGTTATTGAGGCGTTTATATAGCAGCAAAGACAAAAACAATGGTTATAGCAAAACAAAACGTTCTTATATACAATAATTCTTCTCACCTGTGGGTTTGTCTGGTACTGTTACTATTGGTGGGCGTGGCGTGACCTTTGTGGTAGGTTTGTCTGGTTTTGATGTCGTAGAGGCCTGGGGACGAGTAGATGATGCTGGTTTTTGTGTCGTAGAGGTCTGGGGACGAGTGGATGGTGCTTCACTGGCCGTTGTGGATTTCATGGAGGTCGTTGCCGGCGGAGGATTGGTTGGCTGGACTAAGAGATCATAATTGACCGTTTAAAAAAACAATCATAGGATAACTGGGTACTTATACAAAGATTCCGTGTGTAACCAATTCAACAGAGGGTAGAGTATGTCGTAGATCTCAGTCTTAACTGCGACGTATTCTCCAACGATTAATAATGGAAATAGGACCGAGCCAGTGGAGTCCAATTCGGACTGCAATCATACGAGTGATTAACAAAATCGGACGACCGCGAAGCGGAAGTCCGATTTGATAATCCCGAATATGACTATAGACTGAATCGGACGACACGAAGTCCTTACCAATTAATCAAAACTGACAAAATTCGAGAAAGAAACTAGAAATCGGTCATATGGTTTTATAAGAATAACAACAGTTAACTTGGCGAAATGCGCTTCAACAGCGCCCGCACATGACGCGTTTTGTCCACTTTCAGCATGCAAAGGCATGACGTGTTAATTGTCCTTTTAATTGTCATACAAGTGCTCAAATCGGGCTGGAAATAATCAATCACGTTCGAGAATTTTGTTATAGTTTTGATCAATGCAGTTATTTTCGCAGTTCAAAATCAACAGTTATGCTCACTTGCGAATTGTCACCCTCCGGAGACTGAGAAATGAACCCAAGGCTATTTAGTGTATTGCCTTTATTGATTCCTTGATCCGCTGTTTAAGCCTATTTTATAATTAAAACAATCGAGATGGTGTGTATTGACTGACTGGGCGAGCGAACGACCGACTGTTCGGCTGACTGAGTTACTGTCGGACTCGCGGATCGTTGAATGGTCGGACCCTCGGATTACAAGGTCAATCGAATAATAAATCGACTGGCTATCGATTAATTGATTGATTACTAAAGGAGTGAAAAGATTGATCAAATATGGTAGATGTAAGGAAAATACAGTCCTTTAGATTCTTCATATTCCCTTACTCCTGTACAAACGAGGAAGTGATCGGAGCGCTAACATTATTATCCTCAGTTGTCCTTGCGAAAGATGAATAAAAAGTTATTTTCGTTTACCTCGAATACTTACCTGGACAGCCATAAAATTCAGCCCTTAGACAAATGTCCGTATCCCAGGAAGTTGGGAGAATTCGGACAAACCTGGCAACTATTGGGTTGGTCACCTGATTTGTTTTTACTGTTGACATGTCACTGTTTCCGGTAAAAACCTGTTGAAAACCCAAGATGATTAATTATTTCTTTAAAACTTAAATTTCTCAATCTTATGCTAATTAAAAGTTGTCTGTTCTTCGAGATTTTTTCCGAGGTTAAAAACTGGTCTCTGAATCGCTATTTTCTCTTGTCTTCTTCGAAGCGGATGTACAATTTTAAAGTCAGTTTGACTAGTCTTTGATTTTGCCGGTTGACTGTACAATTAAACAAACCATGACCATTATATGATTCAAAATCCAAAGTAAATTATGCGGGAACAAGCAGTCTGGTTAAAGAAAACATTTTTACCTCGAAAAATCCCCGAAGAACAGACAACTTTTCATATCAAAATGACCTTAGATAGGAATATGTCAGAGAACAACTTTTTAGCCATTATTCTACAATCAAATCGGCAGCAGAGATTAGGCAGGATCACCTTAGTCCTTAACTGGCACTTGCTTCAAATCGTGGGGTCAGCGAATCGGGGCGAATATTACTTTGAAGCCGTCTCTAGAGAAATTCTATGGACTTTATCATTTAACTTTCCAGTTTCACAACACACTGAGGGCCTCCCACAGTTTCTTTACCAGCAACATTCTACCTCAGGGTTGTTCTGAGCTCATAAATTACCTCGGAATGAAGAGCCCACGACTTTCCATCATCGCTATAGGACAGCAAGTATTCCTTCACAAATTTTGGATATGCGCTTTCTCTTCCTGATAAAACAAAAACAAAAAAACAAATGGATATTATAAAACTCTTGTTATATTTTATTTGTTCTCTTTTTTAACAATTTTAATTTGTGCATCATGATCACCTTGAGTTGCAACTCCTGTTATAGTGGTTTTATTCAAAAAGTCAACTTGTAAGTATTCTTCGTTGCTCGGCCGGCCTACGCACCAGGCACCCACACCACCTTTGCCGACCGGAAGGTTAAGACGAGCCTGGGTAGGACCATGAAATCTAATTAAAAGGGAAGAAATAAGAGAGGAAACAATAGGACCTTACTGGGCGTGTTTGAGGTTTTATTCTGACCTGGGAGTAAACTAAGCAGAACACCGACAAATACTGATGCTTAAATGATGATAGTACCTTAGTTTAAATTCGCAGGGATATCAGCCTTAGAAGCAAAATCGTGGCCATGTAAAAAAAGGAATAACCGGGAAGAAATGAAAACTATCAAATAATATGAGGTAAGCTTGAAACCCAAGGTAAGGCTGCACAAAGTTTAATGAGATGTAAGGGAATGCAAGGAACAGGCCTGTCGTTTACTGTTGAAAATACCCGTGATGAAGTCTCCATAAGACCTATTTATACTAACAACTTACCTGTTAACGCTGTTGGACGCTGTTATTTGACTGTTCTTGATGGTGAAATCTTCCATCCCGAGAGCCGTAGGTGCGGAACACCCAGGGGATGATGTGGCAGGTTCATGTGTGGATGGAGTATTAGGAACAGAAGTCTTAGGACGGGGAGAAGTGTTTAGCGGAGGAGGAGTCTGGGGTGGAGGTGGTGTGTTCGGCGGAGGAGGAGTCTGAGGAGGAGGTGGTGTTTTCGATGGAGGAGGAGTCTGGGGTGGAGGTGGTGTGTTCGGCGGAGGAGGAGTCTGAGGAGGAGGTGGTGTTTTCGATGGAGGAGGAGTCTGGGGTGGAGGTGGTGTGTTCGGCGGAGGAGGAGTCTGAGGAGGAGGTGGTGTTTTTGATGGAGGAGGAGTCTGTGGCTTCTTCGTTGGCGGTTTGGGTTTTACAGTCGGTGGTTTAGGCCTTACTGTTGGTGGTTTCGGTCTCACCGTCGGAGGCTTGGGGCAGAGCCCACAAGATTTCTTACAGTTTGTCCTTGTGTACCAATTTGTACGGCAATAACCATATCTTCTCCACGAAGTACAACGATAGTCTCTATCACTGCACACCGCAGTTGTCCCACCTGCAAGGACAATAATACCCATAAAACAATTGTACGAATTTGCTGCGATATGCCTTTTTCGTGAAAATCCAGTATTTAACTGCCTTCTACTTCTCAAAGAAAAATGAGTAAAAAATACTACTGTTAAAGGCGTTATTAAATTTTGCGTGGCGTCAAGTTTGTTTGTTTGAGCTTTAGAATCCCATGCGTACATACTTGATATTTGGAAATAACTTTACCTTGGAAAACTTAGGAGGACTTATCTTAGCCATTGCAGTATTTTCCTACAAAAACGTATTGAAAGGTGTACAAGAGATGAACCGATAACCACGAGGAAAGAAAGTGTTGGTACAAGTTTATCTTTAAAAAAATAAAGAAATCAGGACGAAAGTAACATTTTCTGCTAACCCTCGCGTAAATTCGTTTGTTAGGTCCACGATAGCTTCCAATCCTAAACAGCAACCTTAATGAGAAGCAAATTCCCCCTTTTTGAAGTTCATCAATCAAGAAATATCTTGCACCATTTTCTGATACTTACAAAGTCCACAGCTTCTTTTGCAATAAACATTCATGTAGCGTGGATTTAGCCTGCATTCTCCTCTTCGCGCCCAGCTTCCACAATATCGGTTACTATCAAAGCATGCTGTTGGAAAATTAAGGAGGCCATAATCGTATATAATATATATGATTGTCTACTTCTCTTGGTGTAGACGAGAAAACTGTTCAGGCTTTCAATAACCTCGGCACACCAAGTTGTTATTCCCGCCCTTCTTCCAACCAGAGAGCTAAAAAAGTTGAAGCTCCGCTGCCCTCTTATATAAAACACTGTCCATCTCTTCATGGTGTAGCATGAGACGAGACTGCTCTGTCCTTCTGCATTCAAGATAAACACTTAACAAAAATAATCTGCATCTTTCAAACCAGTATGCCTTTAGTGCAAAGAGTTTTTAAAATAAATGTATTCATTTCGGAATGCGGGGAGCTCCAGTGAAACAAAATCTTGTAGGTCCAGGTGTTGTTGAGGCTAGAGGCACAATGATTGAGACGCTTCAACTGATAATCAAAAGAGTAAATTAGCCCTTCATGATCAACTCCTAAGATCTCATTAGCAATTCTCCTTACTGTTTTCCATATAGTTCTTATGATATCAACTCAGAGATTTTGATTTTAGATTGACTAAAAATTCGTAAATGATATTTTTCTTCATTCTCATCACTTTCTGCTTGATAGTGTATTGATATTGTAAGGAGAAATTCAGTGCTGATCTCCCATGGAGTTCAAGGTTTAAGACAAAAACTTTAACTACATTTACCAGTTTGTCTGCGTTTCCGTTTCTTTGCGTTACAACCATACATCCAATCTGTCTGTTCGGCGTCCAGTGGACTCAGGTTTTGGTAAGGTTGCTTTCCGTTTAATGGTTTTAGGGCTTGTAACGTCGGCTGACCGTTTTTAGAGAAAGCATTGAAAGGATAGTGCATGATAGACCCGTAGTCGTAGGGTAAACCAAGGGAATCAATTCTGTCCCTGCCATATTTGGCGAAAGCACTTTCTGAACCTTTATCAAAAGAAATACGTGTTTTAATTACCTATATTATTTAAACAATAGTGTTTCTGTCGAGGAACTGTCGGCTGATAGTTGCCCCGCAGAAATTTGATGTTCTTAAAACAAATATGCCAGTTTTAAGAACATCAAATTTCCAAGGGGCAACTATCATCATCAGTGTAATTATTCTAATTTTCAAAATGTTGCACAGAGCAACATGGGTGATATGAAAATAACACTTACTCAAGCTTATCCTCCTTACTGCTTCCTTTCTTTTGTGATGATTGGCTGCGGGATTGAGGCATGTATTGCTGTAGTTGACCCACTATGAACACCAAGAGATCTGCTGACTTAAGTTGAACTGCAATCAATATTTGAAGCCAAGGATCCAGATAGGAAACCATAAAACATGGAGTGTATGGGGGGCACTATGGTGCAAAACCAATCAGAGAAGAGGATTGTTCCACCGTCACCATACTGGATGCTATTCCAGCCATATAATGGGTTAGTTTGCACATGTTACAAAATACTCTTCTCTAATGGTTGAGCAGCACAGTGCCCCCTTATACTGTCAAGTGAAAGCAAAGTCATAATTTAAAACACTGGGCTGCTATTCAGACTACCTTCAATGTCAACTTTATTGTTTACAGTCTGGTGCGTAAACATTCAAGGAAGTGCGATTGCAATGAACAAATTGGGAAGCATATTAGTGAGTATTCCCTAGATGGTACAAGTGCTTCAATGCCTTTTATGAGTAACATTTTCCTTTCCGTCCGATTTATCAACAGCTCAGATCAAGCAAATCTACTGCTACTGCTCGTTATTCGATAAATTTGCACAGCGATGCGACATGTGTACGTGTAGCATGATAGCTTTTTTCACTCTCGTCATTT